GACCACATTACAGAGGTTGAGACTCGAAGCAGTAGTGCCTGTACTTCCCTTAATCCAGCATCCTTTCCATCTGTTCTCCTTACTGGAGCCTAGCTTTATTATCTAATTTGAAAGGGCATAAAATTCCAGAATTTCACAAGTGTATGACCTGCTTTGCCTTTGTGAGGCACAGATCCTGTGGACCTTGCAAGACCAGCTCCTGATTGAATAAACATTTAGTGGAACAGTTTACAAAGCATTCTGTATTAGTTTATTTAAAACCACTCTAATTAAGGCTTCAGGTTTTACACACTTCAGAGTAGTAAAGTGATTTTGAAATACATTGCTTCCTACTTTCACTGTGGTCTCCATGGTACTGGCAGGAGCTGGAGTGCTCCATAAGCTTTACTCCCTGTTGCAGAGCAGGCAACACCAGCCTTTCCTGCGTGCACGGAATGACTGCGCAGATAAAGAAGGGTCTGACTTGGAAGTGTGGAGTATTGGAAAGCTTGCGACACTGTTATACCTGCTCCTTTCAAGATTATCAGTTTGTTTTGCCTGCATAAGCATGAGAAGTGTTAGAATCCAAAGTTCAATTTACCATAATTTGTTATGCCTGGAATGGCAGCCTTCCTGGATGCATGAAAAGGGATAATTTCACACCCTAACTCATAGTGAGTGAGAGTTGAGCTGCCAGCTCCCTGTGTCTGACTTCATTGCTACACAACAAGGCGTTTTCAAAGGCAGGGAAGCAACATCTAATTCTGTGTTTAGGAAACCACAACAGTACGTTCTGTGAACTTTCAGAAGTACAACCCCAGCTCTGCTCCTTTCTGCACTCCCCCACATGGTGATTTTCCCAGTCCTGGAGCTGGAACTGTTAGCATGGCTAATACAGCAAAGTAAGCGCAGACAGACTTCATGAAATGCATCATCTCATTCACATTTCTATCCTGAAAGGTTTTGAGTAGCTGTGCCTTGGCCAACTTGTTCTTCTCTCTGCCCCCCCTTTTTGGGTGTTTTTAGTTTAGTTTGTTTGTTCACTCTTTAAATACCACCTTTCAGTCATGCAGTATATTTAACCAGCTCTTTTCACCTGAGGGCTGCATGATGGTGTCCTTTGGGGCCTTTCTGCACCACTTGAAAGCTGCTTCCCAGCTTTTTTTGAATGCTAGATCTTAACTTACTCTAATTTGTTAAAAAGAAAGAGTCAAATGAGTAGTTAGAGACTTTGTGTACCACCTACATTCTGGACACTGAAGTACCTCCTAGTTATCTTTCCCTTTTTGCCTTTCTTAAGGGAAATGTCTTTTGCAGGCAGGTACATGTGTGTGCTCAGTGGGAAGAAGCTGGTTCCAATCCAAAAGCTGAGTTAGTGTTGAGCCCAAGCTAGTATATCATAAGGGATTTTTATTTCAACAGGCTGTTCTCTCAACATGCTCTGCAGCTTCTGAGCGTGCAGCTGCAATGGAAGTTGAGTGAGATCCTAAGTTGCAATGCTTTAATTACTGCATTTGAACTGAATGGTATTAATTGCAATGGCAGAAGGATAAAAGACTTGTGTGAAAAGCATGTAATGGGGAAATTAATATTTTGCACTGAGCTAAAAAAAACCAGCCTTTCTTCAAGGATAAATTACTGTATCTTCAGATTTCTGTGGATTGTATGGAGAGTGTTTTACATTAACTGATTCTCCCTAGCTTGTTAAGGGTAATCTGCTGATGAGATTAGTCTTGTGTGTATTTTAGATAGGGCTAAAGTATATAGACAAGCATAGGAAACCACAGCTTAACCCTTATACAGAGACCAGATAGGATTCTTCCTAGAGCAGTAATATACATCCAGATTTTAAGCGTTCTCTTCTGAGAAACCTCCTGCTGTCTACAAATGAACTGTAAATGGAGCATCTCAGATGTTTGAGCACCCCAAAGTAAGCACAGCAATGACTTACTCAGACTTATAGATTTTGTCAGGAACATTAGTGTTAAAAACAGAGAGTGCAAGTTTGTGGTTGTATGTTTTGAAAAGATAAGGGCTTCATGGTTCTAGTTGTTTCCTCTTCTGGTACTTCAAGCAACTGCTGCATCCTCTGTGGCATTTAAAAAGCTGGCAGCATTTGTTTGGGGAATGCAGTGTCTGCTTAGGTGTGTCTGAATTTCCATGTCCTTCTAAGAAACCAACCAGATCTTTAGTATTTTGTCTCATGATGTTGAGCTGGTCTCAAATGGTTAGAAATCCATTGGCAATCTGCTGTTGCATGGATTCCTCTGTGTAATTTCAAAAGCACTGTGCGATTAGAGCACATCAGAAGTGCTGCCTGTGCAGTAGCCTTCTTTAATGACTGTTTTAATGGTGATTTTTTTGTATCTTCACTTACTACCCCTCTTTCATCATAGTTTCTTCTTGTTTTCTTACTGTACTTCTGTCTTCCAGCCTGTCCCATAACTGTTACACATCCACCTATACAGTTTAGAAAGTACACCCGGTTGCTAAGACATAGTAACTGTGCAAATGTGAGACACTCCACCTCCAGTGAAAGCAGATGAGACCAGCACCCTCCAAATGGTGTGGATCAGCTGCCTGTGCCCTCCTCATGTGCTCTCTAATCCTTGAGAGACTTGCAGCTTCCCAGTGCTAAATGTCATGAACTACTTGGCTTCCCCTCACCAAATCTCAAGGCTGATGCAGAGAGGACAGAGGGATCTTCCCACTTGTAACCCTTTTCTCATTATTCACTTTATGAGGTTTTTTTCCCCTCTCATTTTATAGCTTCTCTGCTCGCTGTTTGCTCAGGCAGCAGTACAGCATTGACCTTATTCCTTTTGATAGGAGCTCCCAATAACAGCAAGGAAGCTGACCCAGTGTTGTGCTAATTTTGATCCTTTTCTTACTGAAGCTGTAGCAGCAGCTGCTCCATGCTCATAAGGTCTGCTCACATGCTTATCGAGATTGTATGACATTGCTTTGAGAACCATTCATAGCAGCAAAAAGTGGATACTTGTAAATGGAAGTGTGAATTCCTTCAAAGCGTGGAAGTGTTAGTTCAGGGTAAAAACTTGACTGGTAAAGTTGGTTAGTCTGTAATAATGTTCCACTTATTCTCAGCCAAGTTTTGCAGAGGATTAGGATTTCACTGGAACTTGGTAAAACTCGTAGTACTAAAAAGGGAGAAAGTTCTAACTTGAAGCAAGTCCTGTGTGGATGCCAGGCATGTGGATTGCTCTCATCAGCTGACCGTAGTTCACGCTCTGAATATGTAGTTGTCATTAATCACTCCCAGCTCTTCTTCTGTTCATCAGTAACTTCAGAAGAACTCTTCAACTCTGGGCTTTAATAGAATTTCTTCTGTAAAGCTACTTATGTAAAGTGAGTAGAGAAGTGATAACTTCTCTTCATCTTCCAACAACAACTTCTTCTTTTAACTCTTGTCAGATAAGTGAACACAATCTATAAGCCACTTTCTCTAAGAATAATTACAAATTCAAATAAGTTCAAGGGCATAGAAGTATTTACCCCCCTGGCAACTGTTGATACATTTCCAGTTTCTGAAATCAATTAAATTTACACCAGGCAAAATACTTATCTTCTTTACAGAAATAGTCTGTAGAGCTTGTAAGAGACTGTAATGCCGAATGTATTTCTTTATCTCATTTTGGTGATACAATGAATTAGCAGTGTAATCTGGCTAAGAAATAGAAGTCTACTGCTGTTTTTTCCACTTGCATGGTGTATTGAACTGGAAATAAATCTTTAAGACTCGTCTACTGAGCAAAAAGGACTCGTAGCTTACAAATTGGAAGACTTGATAGATCTCTACCCTGGTTTTGATGAGTTCCTCGGTTAAAATTTCAGCTCTACTGTGGCATCACTTCATCTGTGATGACTTGGTTAGACAGCTACCTCAGGTAAGAGAGTTTGAAACTGGTCTCTTTGCATTCCTTTTTAGTTTAGCATCCCTTTTGCTTTGCCAAACTCAACAAAACTCGTCTTAGAGATGTTTTGTTGTTATTGTCAGGGTTGAGTAAAACCAGTATTTACCCAGTCTTCCCTGTATGTAAAGTTGGTACCTCACTGAGTTGGTATGCAAAATGGAGGAAAAACTCATAGAATACCAGCTTGGAAGGGACTTCAGTGATCGTCTGGCCCAACCTTAAATCTGGGTATTAACAATTCCTTGAGCTTTTGTTTGAATACTTTAAAAATCAGTAGATGAGATTTTCTAAGGGTGTTCTTTGTCGTTTCTGATGGGAATCAGTGAAACACTCCTGGGTAGGTCCCTTTTTAATTAGCTATTATAGATACAGTAAAATCACTGCAGCTGTCAGAAAATACTTTAGTGTTGGTCTGTTGGGGTCTTTTTGGTGGCAACTCACATGGGCCAGGCAGCTTTCGATTTGTCTATCTGGCTACTAGTGCCGGAGCTGTGGAAACACGCTGAGCTGAGTGTGCTGGCTCTGGATTCAATGCCAGTTCTGCTGGTGGGGGTGTGAGTGGAACAGGGGAGCTCTTGGGAAGTGCAGCCAACCTCCACGACAAGGTTTGAAGTCACAGTAATTTCTAGAAGATTAGAAATCCTCATTACCAGTTGCTGAAACTTGAGTTGTCACCTCCCTCACCAACGTGGAGGTGATAAGTTTGCATCTCTCCGAGTCTAATTACATAAGTAAACCAGTATTACCACTGTAGTTAAAGCAGGGGGATGTTTCCTCCGTGGGTAATTATATGTTGCCTGTATAAATTTGTGGTTTGTTCCTGCTCACATTGCTGCAGACAAAGTTTTACCATCTCTTCCTGAACCGGGGGAGCTGTTTCTTGAGAGCGTTTCCTTCCTCTTTGCAAATTTAGTTGCAAAGATCATGGATTGCACGTAGCTGAAGATGACTCCAGTTCTGCAGCCTTACTCACAAGCACATCCTGTATTTCCATCCTGAAACATGACCAATTTGTGCTGTCACCCTTTCTTTTCCCCCCTAGATCCTTGTTGCCTGGTGTAGTGTGGTTCTCCTGGACGTTCACTCCAGGATAAATCACTCTGCGCTGTTTGCAGTGTAGTTACTTTATCGTGGTGTGCCAGGCATGTGCATATTCTAGAGCTTCTTCAGTGTGTTATGTGTTATTTAATTTGCAAGTTTGCATCTTCACAACTGTTTATGACTAGTTTGTGAATTTTGATTCCTCCTACAATCACTTTTGAGTCTTGTTTTGGTTTTTATGATTTTGGGATGCTAATTTCAAATGTTCTCTGACAAGAAACTTCAGAACCATTGCAACTAAATGTCAGGTTAATGCAGCTTCTGGGGCTGCTTGACTTTAGCATTTAATTTATGAAAGAAGCCTTCATATTTTTTATCTGCCCTTGCAGTTAACTTCCCAAATTTACAAAGTCTGGGCAGTAGATGCAAAGAAGCACTTCAAAGAAAGGCCCATGTAAGCTGTGAAGTTAATGGTAGATCCATGAGGAATACAGGCTGGTGGTTTAGCTCAATTGCGGCACTGGTTTATGGGAGGTTATTAAATTCTTTATAGCATAGTTTTAATAAAATTCTTATGCCTTTTTTCTTTAAGATATTTATTCCATATGTTGCCTTGCAGACTGGAGCATTAGGGTTGTGTAGTTTCACTAGTTCTGTAAGTTGTGGTACCTGCTTTAGTTGCTTGTTTCTCCAGTATTTCTCTCATATAGTATCAGAGATCATGGAGGAGGTGAGAAGAGTCCAGAGAAATTTAATCTGAGCTTCATAAGCCTGTAGGTTTTACATGTATCCCTTCCTTAATCTCAAAGCATGCAGAATGTCAGAGCAAAGGAGCCTCATTTAGCACTCAGCTCTGGTTTCAAAACCAAAAGCTTTGCAAAACCAGCATCACCTCTTCCTGTGGCTTTACAAAGCGTGTACGTTATAGTTGCCTGCTCTGCTGTTAGCCAAAGTCAGTGCTGCTCAGAGCAATGTAAGTGAAGAGACCAGTATCAGCAGTTCTTCCTCACAGGTCTATACCTATGTCTGGATTTGCTTGTTTTTTTTCTGTGGGGAGATAGTAGAGAGAAAAAGAGGTTCTTGGAAGCAGGGAATAGCTGTAGGAGCTGTTCGAGCTGGCACTGGTGCCTCAAAAAATATCTGTGTAATTGCTGCTTGCAAAGAGTCTTGCTTGTAAATCTGTCAGCACCTAGTGAATGTTTTTGTGTTTTTTATAGTAACCCAATTTTGAACCATCCTCATTTTCTGTCTTGTTTTGATATATGTAATTCACTGTAAATCCAGTGTGGGAGATCCAACTGCAGAGTTTCCATTCCTTCTGATAAACTATTTCTTGCTCTCTTTCCTGTTTCGTAGACCATTTTTAGTTATTTCTTTCTTAAAGACAATCCAGATGGACTAATACAGTCTCTACTTGTCTGTGGCTTATCTTAATAGCAGAATGCTAAGGGAAACGATTAAAATATTTGCTCAGCAATTAGAAAACATTATGAGCTTCAGGGAAACAGATGAATTTATCTGGGCTCTGATTTTTGTTTGCTTAGTGCTTTTCTGAGGTGTTTTAAGAGGGCTCACCTCTGCAGAAGGATTTCTGCTTATTGTTTGCTGAAGGTTATAGGTGGAGTGACTTGGATATTTAAAACAGAAGTCAAGAGCTTGGATTCTGTGTTGATTGATGGTAACTCCTTAGATAACAGCACAGATGCAGCTAAGGACTGTTGGAAGATAAATGTTAGAGGACAAGATGGAGTGGTATGAGGGAAGATACCAGACCCCAAGTGGGAGCTCAGCTGTAGGGTACTGGTAGATTTAAAGAAGGTAAAGAATGATGCATAAAGAAGGCAAAGAGATGCATAAACTGCTTTGAATTTGGGGTGGACAAAGGTAAAAATGAAACTAAAATGCTGGTATGCTTTAGTTCTTCGTTGATATGACAGGTAAACCATATCACTGTGTAGTGGTATTTTTCAGTTGTATCTGAAACTGCAGTCCTCATATTGCTGCAGACTCCAGGATGTATCAAAATATCCTCTAAGCATAATACATAGTCCTTAAATTAAGGGTCGCAAAGCCAAAGTAGGTGATCTGAGTTTGAGGAATGTCTGACAAAATTCTTTCCATTCTTTTTGGGTTTTGTAATCATGTTTCACTTGTCCATAGGCCTTTCCAGAAATAAAGTTAGAAAAATTACAGTATTTCTAATGTACAGTGTCAGTAAAGGCAAGGCTTTTTTTAAGACTTCTTTATATGAGATGCAGATAACAAACAGCCACATCAAAGCTTTTGTGCAGTCCATAGCACAAAAAGACATCTTTTCTTTCATGGGATTTATAGCCCATATGGTGTCTGTCCTCTAAGTTTAGTGTGTTACAGTTTCTTTATTTTTACAATGCATTCTTGGCTGAATTTAAATGGGTGTTTCTAGGTCACTGTGACTAACCTGGAGTCTTCAGTGAGGACAAATTTCTTGTTAAATGTCCAATAAATTCGAATGCAACCCTCCATCTGTTTAGATTAGGTAGCTCTGATTCCAGCTGAAGTTGAGTTTTGAAGTGCAACCATGGTACCTTTTCATAATAAAGCATCATACTGATTTCATTTTGAAGAATGTAAGAAACATGAGATGCTGATTCTCAGTGGAAGTAACTCGTTTTCTCAGCTGATTTGTTTCTATAGGGATGATATAGATTCTGTTGGAATTTTTTTGTCTGACATAAATGTTCTGGTTTTCTGTAGGGCGCCAATGCCTCTGCTTTGGAGAAAGAGATTGGTCCTGAACAGTTCCCTGTGAATGAGCATTATTTTGGCTTGGTCAATGTAAGTGAATTTTCTGTAGTTGAAATGTTTTTAAATTCGTATCCTAATTTTGAATTTAAGAAGACTCTCTATTAAAGTTTATCTATGAGTGTCTTTAACTTAAGAGTGGGACTCTGCATAGGCACCACATCCTCCAGCATGATGCCATGCCTTGTTATTAACCCAGGTGTAAATTTAATCTTATAATAAATATACTTGTTTTTACTGTATTTAAAGTCTTTGAAAGAAACCTTCTTACTCAGGTACGTTTCCAGTTGCAGGATTTTAATATTTAGCTGGGAAGGACATTAATAAAGTGTGTACATTGTTCACAGTCTCATCTAGAGAAGCGAGATTTGATTTTACACTGATGCTGCAGTGTATGGGAGCCTTGAGTTTTAAAATGAAAACGTGTTACTTCTCTAAAAACATGTTACTCCTGGAATTAAAGGGAGTTCCTATGTGCAAGGACATAGCCAGGAGATGAAGGACATTGACGGGGTCAATAGTTTGCTTACATGTAGTAAGAATACATGTTTGTATTTTGTGAGAGCCTTGTGTAACAAACCTTCTAAAAAGATGTATTTTTTGTATCTGTCAGTTTGCATAGATCTGACTCGACTGGGATCTGTTGGGCAATAACAGTTGTCTACCTACATTAACTCTGGAGAGAAGGGAGTGTTGATGTTGATCCTGTCAGTGCTTCTGTGAGGAAGAAGGCAGCTGGTGCTACGACATCTTTTACCAATTAATATAGGAAGTCAGTTAATAGGAACAGTGACAGTGGTTCTGTGGCATCATGGTTATGGTGTGAAAATACAATTCAGTAAAGCTCACTAGAAACATAAGTATACTTCTGTTTGCTGGTCATCCAGGTACATTTCATTGAGTGAATTCACTGACATATGACTTATCTTTTGACACCAAATAAGGTTAACATAGCTACTAATGTGTTACTTATTGCAGCTCATTACCAACTCATTTAATTGACTTCTGTGTGGGTTTCCAGCGCTCTGTGTTCTCAGACACCAGACTATCTAAACACATTGAGTTATGCTCTTTAAGTACGGTGTTAATGGCCATTCCAAAGCTGCTGAGGTTTGCACCATAATGAGAAAAAATGGAAGACATCTCCAACTGTGACAGAAATAGCAGAGCAATGAATAGTGTGAAGAGGAAAAATAGCATTCTAAAAATAATCAGAATTATTATAACCACATCCATTCTCTGGTTTGAAGGACAAAATATGACTAATACTGTTGTGCCTTACTCCTTGCAACCAGTTTCTTTAGGATGACAGTTTTCATGCTGTTGTTCTGCAGAGCTTTGTCCTTAGTTATCTCTAGTTCTTTCATAATTGATGCAACTTTAAAAAGGGCAGTTTCATGGCTTCAGCATCAATACTAGTACATGTGGTTGCACTGCAAATCGAATGAGGTGTTGAGCCCGTGGACAAGGAAGGCTTTCTTTTTTGATAGTTATTTTCTCCTTGGATCAGTGAGCTGAACCAGCTTTTCCTGCAGTCACACTATTGCTATAGCCACTGCAGAGTCTATGGGAGAAGGGTCTGGCTGTTCTGTGACAGCCTTTTAAAATAGATATGTGTGATGTTGAACTGAAGTGCAAGAGGGAAGGAGCAATGGTTTCATTCCCGAATTTCATCTCAGTTTTCATTTCAGGAAGCATCTATCTTAAAATAAGCCTTTCAAACTTTAGTTTTACATTGACAGAGTGCAATTTTACAAGTTCTCATGAAGTTAGGTAACGTTGACTCTAAATACAGTCATCTTGAAGCAAAAGTCCCCTATATTTTGGCATCTGATTAAAACATTTATACCAGAGAAACCATTACAAAAAGATTTTAAACCCTACTTGTTTGTACCTGTATTTCATTTGTGTTTAAGGTCACATTAGACTTTATATATTATTTGTGTATTTGATCTGTGCATGCATGTAGCTTCAGGTTTGGAAATACTCATCAGCCCATGAGAACTGCCGTGCCAGCCTGGCCTTGGGGGTTATTAGAACCCTCTTCTTTTTTCCAGGCAGAATTTCTAGTAGAGTTAAAGTCATTATTGGAAAGAGCTGACTGCTTTGTACTTCTAAGTGCAAACCGATTGCAGTTTAAAAGCAAGGCACTGCTATGTAATACTGGAGAACTCTAATACTGAGATGTGCAGGTCAATAACCAAGGTATTCAAGTCTCCCAAGGCCCTGAATTGCTCCAAGTTGGAAGGATTTTGTTGTAACATCAAAAGAAAGTTAGAATTGCTGAAATAAAATGCCTCACAATCTTCTTGCAGAGCATTTGGCGTGCAGTGCAATAGCTAAAATGCTCAAGTGCAAGATACTGATTTCAGGAGGAAAAGGTCTTCCACATTACTTTATGTAAAGGTGGTAGTAAGCAGAGAGTCGAAATACCGTTTGGAAGGGTGTTTTTAAAACCTAAAGCATGCCATGAAGTGAATTTCACCTTATCACTTTGACTGCTGCACAGCGTCTTGCAGGAATTTTCAAAGCTACTTGGCTGGAATTTTAATTCTTTATCTCTTTTAACTCTTCTGTTTAGTTTGGTTTTAATAATATCTCTGTGTGTGGGTAGCATCACAGCAGGACGTGTATAACCAGTTGACTTCATGCTTTTTGACATGATCTCTCCATGAACACAGACCTGAAATGTCATTAACTACTCGCTTTGTAAACTTCTTTGACTTAAGATGCACAGTGACCTTCTTTTATTAGTATTATTTTGAAGATGGCTAATTTCTAGTTTCTACTGTCTTCATTTCCTGGGATTATTATAGACAAATTCATTAGATACTTCATCGAAAACAATCTGACTTGTGGCAGCTCTTCTGCCTATTTTGTCTTGTGTGCAAATTTAGTTAGCATTTAGTTTTAGTTAATTTGCTTAGTTAGGGTTTAGTTTGTTTCCTAGGTCTCTAACAAGTATATGAGTGAGGTTCTATCCTAGTTTGCATGTGTGTTCAGCTTCCATACTTGTTTTCCTCATGTCAGTCAGTTTTGAGTCTTGTTCCGTGTTGTTTGCATATGGTGTAAATTAATGTTAATGTACCTATAATGCTGTGACCTTTTAAGCTGTATTAACTGTTAATTTTCTGTTTCTGATTGTTATCTTGAAATTATTCTGCTTACAGTGATCACCCCAATTTTTGCTGGACAGTAGTGGCCATATTCTCTGAACACCACTTAAAAACACAGTCTATGTTCTGCAGTCAGATTTCTAAGCTCAATTTGTTGATTTAGAGTATTTAGCTCTCAATGCTATTCAGATGTAGAATCTCATCACCAGAATATCTGGGCACTGGCAAACCCAGAATGTGTTTCAATGTTTAATGCAGCAGCATTGTACAGTGCAGTTGCACAATTAACTGCAGAGAAACAACTGGAAAGCCCATGGTATATTTCTTGTGGGTGATGCACTAGTATGTCAGTGCTCTGAGTGTTTCTTCTTCTTGAGCAATGTGGAACACTGCCTCTGGAAGTTATCACTGTCCTCCTTTCTCTGAAATGACATTGCCTTCAGATATGGCAGATGTAAACCAGCTGCTCTTTGAATTTGCCTGCATCATGTACTCCGCATCATATTTCCTTATAAACAGGAAATATTTAACATGTACCTTGCTAACTATCTCTAGAAAGTACTTTGTGTATCTGACACAGGCAAATCTAACATACGAGTTCAGGCACTGACCTCTGGTTGCTGTAATACAGTCGAGACACACTGAAGCTGATTGATGCTGTCTCTTCCTTTCTCTGTTGTCCCTGTGTTCTGCTCTACCATTGGCACCCCTCACATCAGCATCAGCAGCATAAGCAGCATGCTGTGTCTTCAGAAGTTTTGATTTTTATGATGAGCCCTCTATTGGAATTTGTTTTGTCAGTGGTTTCCTGCCTTTTTCGTGTGCCCAGTCTCACCATGACTCTGTCTTCTCTTCCTTTTCTCACTGTTACCAGCCGGGATGATACAAGGATGAGTCTTTTACACCATGCCTACTAACATTTCCCCAGTAAATGAACTCTAACAGACCACTTTTCCTTTTTCAGTATGTGACCTTCTTAAAGAACTGCCTCTTTCTGTTCGTACTTTTTAACAGACCCCTAATGTGAGAACGTTTGTTTTCCTTTCTGTTCTGTTTCAACCAGTTCGGCAATACCTGCTACTGCAACTCAGTCTTACAGGCACTTTATTTTTGTCGTCCATTTCGGGAAAAAGTTTTGGCATACAAAGTGCAGCCTCGAAAGAAGGAAAGCCTCCTGACGTGCCTCTCTGATCTCTTCAACAGTATTGCTACGCAAAAGAAGAAGGTGGGAGTCATCCCACCCAAGAAATTCATTTCCCGGTTGAGGAAAGAAAATGGTAAATGAGCAAATGAAGTTTTTATGTAGATTTCAGCATATAAAGACTATTTCCTTTTTAACGAGTCCAAATTGTCAGGTTTTAACAGATTTCTGGAAGGTTTTTGAACTCCTGTTTGTGGTGTGAATTTTACCGCCTCGGTAGCACACGAACAGAGATTGCATCAGAACTGTGCTGTGTCAAAGAGGATTATCTGGATATCTTTGTTTCTCTGCTTGCACAGACCAAGTACAGAGTGTGTATGCAAGTCTTGGTGCTCCAGTTATTCCCCATTGGCATGGTGTTCTGTGGAGGTCTGCTGCAAGTCAGCACACTTCAGTCCGTGCTAGAAATTGTCATGGGCTGCACAGACGTCACGGAGTTGGGCAAAGTTGAGCTCTCCAAGGAGACTCAACCACTCTTAGCCTGCTCTCTTCTATTTGTGGTGGGATGAATTCCTTATGATGAGAACTGGTTATTTCCCAGGGCTGTTTTGTGAGGAAGAGTTTTGTGTGTTGATTTATCATCTCTGCTTGAACTTGAAAGATAACAAACTTAGAGTAGGGGATTTTTGCCCCTTGGTACTGGACTTAATGAACTAATGGCCCAAGGCAACACATCTGAATTTCTTTAGTTCTCTCCCTCCCCAGAGGAAAAAAGCCCGAACAACAACCCCCTCAAACCAATAATGGTTTTCTTCAGTTCCAAGAAACGCCCAGATTCAGTTTCCTTTATGTTATTTTTCAGCTGCTTATTTCTTGCAAGCTGAGGAATAGGTGAGGGTAACCTAATATCTATTGTGAGAACAACAAAGTGCAAGTCTTCAAAGAGTGTAACCCACAATTGTATGATAGGGTAGAGAAGGGGGAAGGGCAGGCACTGATTGCTAAAAGCACAGTAACTTGATATTATGAAGTATCTGTGTATTTTCATTCTCTTTGATCTCTTCCTTTCCAGAATTGTTTGATAATTATATGCAGCAGGATGCACATGAATTCCTAAACTACCTACTTAACACTATTGCCGACTTACTACAAGAAGAGAAAAAGCAGGAGAAGCAGAATGGCAAACTCCAGAATGGCAGCATTGAGAGTGAAGAAGGAGACAAGACTGATCTGACGTGGGTCCATGAAATCTTCCAAGGAACACTAACCAATGAAACCAGATGTCTTAACTGTGAGGCTGTACGTTTAAAACAAAACCAAACCTCTTAGATTTTTTGACAGGTTCTGGATCATTTTCCCTAATACTAAGCACACTTTTTCATTTATTAGGATAGATGAAATTGCACTCTCTCTATTAAAATATGGAGCATAGCCTATTTTATGACTGTATCACCTCTATGTTCAAACCAATACTCATTAAGGTATGTTTCTCAGAAAAAGCGTAGTGTTTTTTCTGTTCCTCCTCCCTGTTTCCATCAAGGCAGTCTGCACCAGGCTGATACAAGCTGCCTTTTTGTCTTCATGTTATTTCCTGTGTCAGTGATTGATAGTTGATGTTGTGTTTCTACATGAGAGTTGCTCACTATTTATTTAATTCTGGGATGAACTGAATTTCTGAAACTGGAAATCTGTGCTTCTTGGTGCTGGTCCATCACCACTCTACTTGAGAGCAAAAGAAGTGCTGCAGAATCTAGAATTAGAAGAACCACACCACCTTCAGAGCAGGAAATTGTAGTTAGTCATGTTCTCTGATTTAATATTTCTAAAAAAAAAATGAAAACCCAGATGGGGAGAGAAAAAAAGAGAGGAGTGATTACAACTGAGATGACTGTTCTTGGCATTTTAAACCTAAGTTCGGGCTATGTGGTGAGTAGAAGCTCTAAAAATGACATTAAGATTGTCTCAGGAACTTTCAAATGAAATGTGACTGTTCCACAAATGGAAAGCTGCTTTTCCTGACTGCTAACTCAATTAAATGAAACCCCATCTGCCTGTTTTTCCACTTCCTATTTACTGTTAAACTCTGAAATGCAGCAGGAAGCTCTATCAGTCTGCAGAGCAGAGTGGGATACGCTTAAAGCTTCTCCAGCTCTGAGTGGTTAAAAACTTGGTTTTGCCAGTGAAGTGAGCAGATGTGTCTTGGAGTCTCAAGGGGGAGAGATGTTTTGCAAGAAGGGGTTTGGGGCTTGGAATTTTTTGTGGCTTTTTTTTCCCCCCTCTGTTTTGGTTTTATTATTGGTTTTTCTTTCTTTTTTCCTTAATATTCCTCTCTGGATTGTAACAACACAGCTTATTTCTTCAGTTTTAGCTCACCTCAAGAAAGGGCCTCTCTGTGTGTATATTTACTTTTTATCATGAAGCTCTCTACTTGCAACGAGGACATTGCACCATTCCACAACTGGTTAAAAGAGATCTGCCAGTTCTAAACTGTTATGAAATATTTCTTCTTCTTTTTTTCAAGGTTAGTAGCAAAGACGAGGACTTTCTGGATCTATCGGTTGATGTGGAACAAAATACATCAATTACACACTGTCTAAGGTAAATGAGAGTATTTGGGAATTGAAAGAATACCTGCCCTTGGTCAGAAGGAAAGAGCCTCGTGTAGCTGACCTGTTGTGGGCAGCTCTAGGCTTTGACTTTACGGTAAACCATGTTCATTTTATCTTTATCATGGGTTTTTGAAGCTGCTGGTTCCTCGGTGGTGTTTAGTAGCTAATGAGTATGGTGATTTCTTAATGGTATGTAAGATTGATTTCACTTTCTTCTATGGGGATTTTAGTTACATATAGTCAGGCTTTATCAAAACTAAACATGGTGTGTTTGGTTTCATAATAAATTACTGTTTATTTTAACATTGTTACTGCATTTCAGTTACCTGGTCCTGATGTTTGTGGTCAGATTGATGAGGTTTTTGTTGTTCCTGATAGAAATTCACCCTGTGTATTTAACTGCTAGCACCAAGCCTTATCAGCTGCTTAGAAACTGCAAGTTGCATGTAGCATCTGGCTTTTTAATAGCTGATAATGGAGGTATAATTGCTAGAAGCTGAAAGATTATACAGAATTTGTTAGTTAGTTGCTAATAGCTGTTAAGTCTTAACATTTCATGTCTTCCACCAAAGAAAACATGGAATGGCTACCTCTGGAAACAACACACAATCACTTTATTGCTGTTTATTATGTACTGTGTTTGATTCCTGCCCAGAAAATATGCACTTAATACATGAGGGTGTAATTTTTCCAGCTGAACATTGATGCTACATCCCAAGACTGGGTCAGCTACACCTAAAATGTGTTTGGGAGGTATGAGAGATATAAATAAGAGGAATTTAATCTTCTGTGTGTACTTTGGTTATTTTCAGCAATATTAGCAGTAACTTTGAACTAGATAGTCTGACTGTCCCTGCTTATCTGGCTTTTGTTTCATTTTCACAGAGGATTTAGTAATACTGAAACTCTCTGCAGTGAATATAAATACTATTGTGAGCAGTGCCGCAGTAAACAGGAAGCACAGAAGAGGTAAGGTTCAAATATTCATGCTAATGTAAATGTTCTTTAAAATGGGCAGCTGTTGGAAAAACACACCTTGTGAATTCAGTGAAAAGAAAACATTAAGACTGTTCAGGTCTGTGTTTGATGGGGAAAGGAGTAAAGAAAAGAGGAGACACGAAGTAACTTCATGTCAATCTTATCAGAGAGAAATGAAGAGATTAATTTTGTATTCCTCCCAGAAGAGCTTATATCTGGTGCTTCCAGACATTCACGTTTTCCCCAGTTTGCATTAATCAGCTTAAAGCCACTGAAAACCACCCCATCTGCTTTCACTATGAATACTATATACAAAAATGTTACTTTTCACTCGTACTTGGTCACAGCCAGAGCAGCAAGACAGATATATTCCATCTCTCTTCCTACTAATGTGCTGAAAAACTGATGTTTTCCACACAGGCAGTTGTCCTGCATTCAGATGCCAGTTGTGTAGTTAAACATTCAGAATAAATATTGCATTTTCTCACTGGAATATACATGAGAAAAGCAGCCTTTTGAAAATCTTCAACATTTTAGATGTCTTTAAGAAGCTTCTTCATATAGTTTTGAACAAAGCTTTGTTTTAGGTGATCTGCTAACACCTTGTTCTTTGTTGAACATATTTTTGTGGCTCAGAATGAGAGTGAAAAAGTTGCCCATGATTCTAGCCCTGCACTTAAAAAGGTTCAAGTACATGGACCAGCTGCATCGATACACCAAACTCTCCTACCGGGTAGTCTTTCCCTTGGAGCTCCGGCTCTTTAACACTTCAGGAGATGCTACAAATCCTGACAGAATGTATGACCTCGTGGCTGTGGTGGTTCACTGTGGCAGGTATGTTGGGTTTGTGCTTTCTGGACCTTAAATGTATTTCCTGGGAATTTTAAAGGAGTCTGTCATCTGTGTGCCATTTTATGCCAGCGTGGTTGCCTGACAGTATGGGAACATGCTGAGCAGCATCAAAGCTAGTTGTCCAACAATATTTCAATCTCTTTTTTACTACTTTTTACTGGCTTAAGTTTTGCTTACTGAGTACCCACTCTGAGGTTTGCTCTTTCATCAGCTTTCAAAGATGACGACAGTTCAGACAAGTTGTTCCTTTGAGCTGCAGCAAAGTAAAAGCAGTCCTTAAAAAAAAAACAAACCAAACCAAACTAAACCAAGAAAAAACCCCCACTCCCAACCCTGCTTTACAGGAAAGTTAAGTGAAATAAAAACAAATCTTGGAAGAACACTTACTAAGATAGGGTGAAGTTACAGTTCTCATGGTGCTACTTTGGAAACCGTTGAAGGTTTTTTGGAAGCTGGTGCCACCATGTGGCATAAACTGTGTACTGCGGAGGTTTTAAAATACCCTTATTCTCTTCATCAGTTTCTTGTCGTCGTTGTAGTGGCTTTAATTCTGTTTTAAAAAGCGAAGAGGAAATTCTTTTAAGCACTTTTAGGAAACAAAAGCAGTCGTGGAAGGCAAAAATTATATAACTACCTGCTGGAAGGAGAAGTTTTGAAGTAATAAGTTATTATAGAACACAAATGCAAGCAAGGAAATATAATCAAGGTGCTAATATTGGACAGATTTAATATAAATCAACTACATACAATTGTAGATGATTTCTGTTGTGGTACAGTTGTGCTGGTTTTATTTATCTTTTTAAGATTTCTTCCTATGCTATTTCATAGAATGGTTTGGTTTAGAAGGAACCTTAAAGCTCATCCAGTTTCAACCCCCTGCCGTGGGCAGGGACACCTTCCAATTAGTCCAGGTTGCTCATTTTCTTCTATAGATTCTTAATTTGCAATACCTGTAACTACACTTACATGTTTTGACAATGGTGATTAATAATTCAGATGTATTAAATGGCTTTGCTTTTTCTTCTCAATCCCATTTTCTTATATGGGGGCTTTCAGGAGTCCTGTGAATCTTTTGGGTTTCAGTTCTTACTAGGAACTTACCAAAGGCTTAAGGTAAACTATATGTTCCAAATATTTGAGTTCTCAGAACTTGTTTTTAAACATTTTGCCCTATAGTTTTACTTTTCATTTAGTTGCTCTAAACAAAGAAGTTTCATTCTGTGACGGGTAACGTTACACACAATAATTCAGGAAGGACTAGAGAAGTACTTTGGCCTGAAGCTGATATGAATATAGGTTGTTTTAAAGCCTAATGTAGATCCTAAGTAAAAAGTAAAGCTGGAACATT